CCACCGCGGTGCCCCGCCCCTCAGGCTCTGCAGAGCCCCTCCTTTCTCCCCGGGGGTGGGCGGTGCTCCCAGAGGACAGAGGAGCTTCAGTTTCAAATCCAGGGAGTGAGAAGGGGCTGTGGAGCCCCTCCTGCCCAGGCAGTGACGTGCACTACCTGCTGGATTGGATTTGGGGGGCATGGCTGGTGCCCGGCTGGGGTGGGTCCCGCACCTGTAGGTTGGGGCCAGGACCCAGGAGGGCCAGTGGAGCCCAAGGTGGCCTGTGCTGTGGGTGGGGGGGCTCCATACCCCGCAGCGACAGGCTGGTCCCCAGTCTGATTCTACAATGGGGTGGCGACCTTCCAGACCTTTCAGTGCCCAGGACCCCTGCCCCCGAGGCCAGGGTGGAAAGCCCTCCTCTCTCACTGTGGCCTGGTCCTTAGGGGTGGCCTGGATCCGAGTTAGGGAGAGTGGAAGCTGCAGGGCGGGCGGATGTGGAGCTGCGTCCCCCATGTGCCCGGGACTGAAGTCTGGGTTCCTGGCAGCCAGGAGCTCTCCAGGAAAGCCTCTTCCTGGGAAAATGAGGCCTGAGACTCAGCTGGAAGGCAGCACCGGGCAGATGGCCCCCCTTGGGGATCTGCTCTGCCCAGGGAGGGAGGAGGGGGTGACACACCACAGCCTGGCCCTGTGCCCTCGCCCTCGGGTTCTATACACAGACCTTTAGTTTTTCCAGGGTTAAGAATGAGGGTCTGAGTGCCTCAGAGGCCAGCGCTACCAGGGGAGGGACAAGAAACTAGGACTTGGTGTTGGAGGTGTTATGCCCAGATTTCAAAATCCCCCAAGACAGACCACTAGGGAGCCGAGTCCAGTGCAAAAGCAAAGAGTCTTTATTCAAGCTAGCTTGGTCCCTCTGCCTCCACCGGGTTTTTCCAGGGTTAAGAATGAGGGTCTGAGTGCCTCAGAGGCCAGCGCTACCAGGGGAGGGACAAGAAACTAGGACTTGGTGTTGGAGGTGTTATGCCCAGATTTCAAAATCCCCCAAGACAGACCACTAGGGAGCCGAGTCCAGTGCAAAAGCAAAGAGTCTTTATTCAAGCTAGCTTGGTCCCTCTGCCTCCACCGGCGCAGTGGCAGGATGAGAGAGAGACCCAGAGTCCCAAGAGAACAAAGAATTTATAGGGCTTGGGGAGGGGAGTGGAGGCACTTGGTCGATTCCAGTTGGTTGAGTGAGGGACTGGGGCTAGTTTCCCTTGCTTTCCCATTGGCTGAGATAAAGGCAGGCTGAGTAACTGATACATTCTATGGCTTTCCTGGGAGAGGAGTAGGTTGGAGGGAGACACGCCTAGGCCTGGGGCTGTGTCTGCAGTCATGGCCACAGGGTAGACCCCCAGGGCTCTCTCTCCAGAGGTTGGGCTCAGGGCTGATGCCCACTCCCGCAACCTCACTTGTCTGGAATCACAGCCAGAGCACCTTGCTTCCTGGGCTCAGCACTAAGGCAAGGTGAGTGAAGCCAGATGCCTGGGCGGAGACGGACAGGAGGGCATGTTGCCTCCGGGCTCTGAAATCAGTTCTGACTGAGCCTGGGCCTGCAGAGGTGGGGGAACCTGAGCCAGGAGAGCTTAGTCCCCCAAAAGAGACCCTTGCAGGCCAGGTCAGTGCCCATAGGAACCCAGGGGAGGGCCCACAGGCATTCACCTCTTCCCCTTGTTTGGGTGTGAGAGACACCTTCAAGGCTTGGAATGGAGATTCCATGCAGGGCCATGCCCTTCCAGGTGGACATCACACCTCAGTCAACTCCAGGCTCTCCCTCTGTGTGGTGTCCTGGGTCGCAGTGACAGCCCCCAACTGGGGTGTGTGCTTAAAATAACACAAATACATTCTCTTACCGGCTGGAGGACAGGAGCCCGCAATCAAGTTGTTCTGGGGACACAGCTCCTCCCAGGCTCCTGCTCCTGCAGCAGCTGGTGGTGCTGGGACCCTTGGTTGGGGAGGAACCCCTGGGCCTCCACCCCGTCCTCCCCACCCCTCTGTGCTCTCCGCATCCTCACCTCTTCCTACAAGGAACCATCATTGCCATCAGGGGATTGAGGCCCTCCCCCCTCCACTCTGACCCCATCTGAACTAGTTGCATCTGCACTTATTTCTAAAGCAGGTCAGGTTCTGAGGGACCGCACTGGTCCACACTGACTCCCTCACTGGTGAGACTACAGGCCACCAGGCTGTGTGCTCCTGAGAGAGGGAGTGCGCCCCTGAGGAGGCAGGGCCTGGCCACAGGAAATCTTTAGGAGCCCCACGGCCCAGCACCCAGGGCGCCCATCAAAACAACAGGCCAGTGAGGACCTCTGCCCCGGTCAGGAAAGCAGCGTGCTCCCCACCTCACAGTGCCCCCCAGCCCGTGACCCTGGCCACACAACAGGCTGCCGGCTCTGAGTGGTCCCAGTGCTGGACAGGGCTCTGATGCAGGTCCAGGCGACACTGGCGTTATAGGACGCAGCAGACACGATGGTGTTAAAAGTATTGGTGATGCGCAAGCCCCGCGGGGGGCAGGACATCGCAGGCTATGCAGCCTGCATTGAGGACTGTTCCTGAGACGTGAGTGACAGTTGGTGTCTGGGTACATTGACCTCCTTGTGTCTGGAGGCCAGGGAGCAAGACGTGCCACCATCTTGGTGGGACAATGACACTGAGCACCAGGCAGAGGCAGGGCTGCTGTGTCACAATGGGGGGCAGGGAAGGTGAAGGCCCTTGCGTGTCTCTTGCCTCCCCCTCGTCAATGTGATGGCAGGTGGACACGTGTAGCCACCCGGCCTGAGAAGTCCCTGTGACCAGAGCTCAGTCCCTCAGGGATGGGGGTCTGGGTCGTGCTACCAGGTAAGTCCCAGAGTCACAGTTAGTAGCAAAGGGTGGGACCCAGGTGGACAGTGGAGGGGCCCTGTCGGCCTCAGTTGTACCCTGAGCCTCTGCTTCCCAGTTTCCTGGGCAGGGACTCCTCGGTGGTCCTGCGGCCGCCTCCTCAGCTCACAAGGCAGTAGGCGGTGGACGCTACGGGACACAGAGGCGGGCCTGATCCCCCTTCAGGACAGGACTTGATGACAGCGCCTGGGAGGCCTGGCAGTTCCTCTGGCTGCCTCGCCCCGGCAGGTCCCTCTTGGCTGTCGCCGGGAGAGGCAGGGCTGGCACTGTGTCCCAGTGGGGGGCGTGGGGGCCATGGCCTGTGTCTCCCTGTGGGCTGGTCAAGGTGTCATCAGCCTGCATTGTGCTCCAGCCTCGCCCTCTGCCCATCTCTGCTCCGTCCACCTGCCTCCCAGGTGCCTCTCCATGACTTGTACCCACAAGAAAGCCCGTCTCGGTGCAGCTTCTGAGGAGCACCCTGCAGGGGGCAGTGTGCATGGCCTCAGCTGGTGGCAGTGAGGGTGGCCACAGGCCACATGTCAGGCAGATGTCATGCTCTGGTCCAGGGGTGGGCAAACTTTTTGACTCGAGGGCCACAATGGGTTCTTAAACTAGACCAGGGGGCCGGAACAAAAGCATGGATGGAGTATTTGTGTGAACTAATATAAATTCAAAGTAAACATCATTACATAAAAGGGCACGGTCTTTGTTTTTTTAGTTTTATTCATTTCAAACGGGCCGATAGTTTGCCCATGGCATGCTCTGGTCAGATGGTGGAGAGCTCCACGCTGCCTCACAGGGTCCAGCGGATTCAGGGGCTGCCCTGTGGCTCTAGGGGCCCAGTAGCAGCTCTGGGGCTCTGCCTCCCTGGGCCCGCCTGCCTGAGCCCAGCGCTCTGGGGCTACTTCCAGCAAAACTGCACCCTCTTGGCAGCTCTCCTTGCTCAGGCCGCCGGCCTGGCCGTGCTTTGTGGCTGAGATCCGTGCAGCCAGAGATGGCTGCTGCCCAGTGACAGCAGGTGGCAGGTCCGGGGGAGGCAGTGCCAGGGCCCAGCAGCAGCTCCTTGCTGCCTGCTGACTGACCCTGGGGTGGACCTGAGAGAGGAGCAGCTCTCTCTGCCTATGGCCAGGCCAGGAGGCCCCTGCCAGCCCTTCCTGTGCCAGGGGATGAAGGGGTGCAGAGAGGGTCACAAGGAGGGTTCCTCCAAGTGAGGATGCCGCTGCTCAGACCCCGGCTTCTCCATTCCCACACGGGGATCCCTGCCCCTGGTGGTCTCACCCAGGCCCCTGCCATCCCCACAGATGCTGTGGCTGCTGTTCCTGAGCCTCCCAGGCAATTGAGTGGCCTTAGCATATCATTAGCATATTATACTTTGATTGGTTGAATGGATGGCCAGATGACCGAACACTTAGCATATTAGGTTTTTATTATCCTATATAATAA